AAGTAGGATCACAAGTCTGCATGTTGTACAGCAATTAACCACTAAGAAGAATATATGCAGTGTATTATTTGTTGAAACTGTACTTTCGATTTGATTTGATACTGTCTCATTGCTATATGTTTATCAATAAATCTTTGACAAGAAAAAAAAATAAAAATAAAAAAATGTACCCAATTCCCACGATGACCATAAACTGGCTGTATTACAGACATACACTAATAAAGACAAATTAAATTAACAAATATATACAAAGTTTATAGAAGCCACAAACTGTAGAGGATGTTTTCCAAAGTTTGAGAGAGAAAGAGAAAGTCATAGATTGTAACAGCAAAGGTGCCCCCAAGAAACTGCACCTGCTCCTAGGCCTCTAGAGAATGTGGTGTGTCTCGTGCGCCCCCTGTTGTCCTGAGCCCCCTGCAGGGAGGTTTGTGTCTGAGCACCTATGGAGTTCCGCTCACTGTGTCTCTTGCACAGTAATACATGGCTGTGTCCTCAGATCTCAGGCTTCTCAGTGTTAGTGAAACTTGGCTCTTGGAAGTGTCCCGGGTGATGCCCACTCGTGATTGAAGGGCTGGGTTATAAGCTGTACCTCCATTATACCTCATAACACCAATCCACTCCAGCCCCTTCCCTGGAAACTGACGGATCCAGTGTACACCATAACTGGTTAGAGAGAATCCGGAGACTGTGCAGGTGAGGGACAGGGTCTCTGAAGGTTTTAAAAGACCAGGTCCTGACTCCTGCAGCTGCACCTGGGACAGGACACCTGAGGACAAGAAACATCACCATTAGTCAAACCCACACAACACCCCTTTCCCAGGTCCCATTCCTGAAACTCAGAGCCACTCACAGTAGGGAGCTACCAACAGGCAGAGGAGCAGAGCCAAGAACTCCATGATCAGGGAAGGCTCCTGTGGGAGGAGACTGGGGCTGCTCAGCCATGGCTGGCTTTTCATCCTGAGCCTGGGGCTGCTTTGCATGGGGAGGCTCTGAGGTATAAGAGAGGGACAGATGGCATGGTTCTTTAGTCTTCTCAGGGACAATGATTTTCTTGGGATGAACATTTGCACTGTGAACAGGCACACAGCAGAGACACTTTTCTACATCTTCTATAGTATTCATACAAATTGAATAGTATACTGCACACAAGTTGAAATTGAGTAAGAACAATGACTCTAATTTTAAGCACAATTTGGGTCAGAATCTTTCATGTTACAGTGTTCTTATTATGGGCTCATTCTAACTTGCTGTCTGTATTTACTAATGCTTGCCTTTCTGTGAGAATTTTTATAGTGATACAGAAAAGTGTTATCTGTGATGTTCTTCTTAGTGATGGTTTGAAATGTTGAAGAATATAACTAGGCCTTCTTTCTTCTTGTAGCAAGCCCTGTGCGCTTCTCTATGGTTGTCTTTTCCAAAACTGTTGCTTCGTGCAGTGGTGTGGCATTCGTAGACAACCTCTGGACCTTGATTCTTACAGCCTCTCAGTATCTTGATTTGGGGAACTCTTGGAGTCCACATAACTCCATCTCATCCCACTCTTAGATTTTTAAAATCAGGGGTTTCAAATCATAGAATAACATAATGCAACCACAAAATTTATATGTCAATGTCTGTTTCCTTCATTGCTAGCCTCTTTTTCTCATAAATTGTCACATTCTATATTCAAATAATAGTACAGTTTTACTAGTATGCTCTTTCTACAAACCTCAGTGCCATTAATATTTCACCTAAACAAAATTTTTCTTCTGTATGTTTTTATTATTTCTGAATGATATTTATTTCTATTCAAATAGATAAATAAAATTGTATTCACAAATCTATTGAATAAAGACTTGGTATCCAAGGCTTTTAGTTCTGTGAAATACCCTTATGTAATAATCACACAAACACAACCAAATCATTAGAAACTGAAAGTCAAATAAAATATAAAAGCAGAAGAACTAAAATCAGATTCTCTCTTGTTGTCTTGATATTCTGGGACTTCCCAAGATATGTTAACATTCTGTACCTCTCTCTCAAATCCCTGAGGACTCAGATTTTCATAAGGAATCATGCACCTGAATCCAATAATTAGAAAATCAAATCCAAGGTCTCGGATCGCCCACCACCAATCAAGTAGAAGATGGATGACACTTGAGAGGAAATACTCACACTTCAAGGCCGGTAAGTCTTTGTACCTGGGTCACCCCAGCTGCCTTCCATGGCTGTAAATGTGCTGAGATAAGGAGGCCCCTGCTCTGCACACCACTGGAGCTCCTGAGACTGTGCATCACACGGCCCCAAGAGACAGTGCAAATGTGAGTACCTGCTGTGTTCCCGCACCCTGCTCTTCTGTCAAAAACAAAGAGGGTATAAGGGAAATGTTGACTGTACTGTATGGAGAATTTTTATCTAATCTTCATGCACATGTTCACATGAAGTAGAAAATTCTAAACAATTTGTCATATACATTGCATTTTCATTCATTTATTTATTTATTGTATTTTAGGGAAGGATCTACAGGGTGCTCAGGGTCTCACTTTTAGATCAAGCTCGTAGTGATCCCCTTACTTACAGCCTCCCAAGAGCTGGGATTACAGGTGTAAGTAACCATGCCCAGCCTCAATTGCTATCTCAGTGCATCCTGGTGGTGGGGCCATCAGGGAGGGTCCAAGAATCGAGCCCGCAGTCCCTGTGCTGGCTTGCAGGTGTTTTGATGTGCTGAGCTACTTGGGTGTTCCAATATTGCATTTTAAAAACTGTAAATGTAGCCTGGTATGGTGTTTCACACCTATAATCTTGGCAATGAGGCAGGAAGACCACTGCAAGATTGAGGCCAGCCCGTGTTACATAGTGAGACACTGCCTCAAGAAGCAAAGAAAGTGCAAAAAATAGAATTAAAAATCTGAGGTTCATGCACTTTAGAAATGATACCAAAGGAAAATATTCTAAAATACAATATACTATTCAGAGAAATCCTTATGTGGGAGAAAGAATAAGACCTGAGATGCAACAGGTCAAAGCAGTATATATGGACATTTAAAAAAAAAAAAGCTGTGTTTTACAAATAGGGTATACAACACTCTAAACACATTATTGTGATTCTGTGAATTGCAACTGTTATGTCAAACAAAGAAAAACTCACTCAACAGGTTTCCAAACAGCAAAGGCTTATCAATGTCTCTTTCCATGTATATCCTAGAATTCTCCACACCAGAGCCCAGATGTGGAGGTACATGCATGTTGCAGTGCATGGTGTTTGCTGGCATTTCCCTTTAAATTTTAAATTTGAGGCTTCTTAGTGCACATATTATAACCCTGTCCTTTTAATATGACCTCCAGGATGGTGACATTATATGATGTCCCATTGCTTCTCAAGGACATTGGGTGTAGTTTTGAATGCTTGGATCCATTTCTTATTACTGCATACATGGAAGAGATTGTTCCTGTGACACTCTGAAAAAATGGAGCTGTTTTGCCAGTCAAACTCACATACTCATTTATTTTTTGTATTCATGCAGTAATAGAATTCAGTTCTTCTGTTGAGTGGGCCATACAAAGATAGTGAAAAGACTGTCCCGGGAAAGCCTGTGCCTCTGTGTGGAACCAGCTAGTGGGACTGTGCTCAAAGTTAGAGAATAGACCATGTGGATGGTGATTGGTGGTCAGCCTGCTGGTCCTCTGTAATGATTATATGTCACCTGGCAGGGTGTTAATGATTTGATGAAGGTTTCAGTCACTGAACTCTAAGAAAAGTAAGTTCACATTCATCACATGCCTGAGAGTCCTTGATCAGGAGAGGGCTGCACAGAACCAACACCCAGGATCACCCAGCAGAAAGGATTCTGCAGCCCACAACCTCCACTTTGCCTGCACCTACAGCTCCCTGGTCTCCAACTGCAGCCCACAGCTGAGACTTTCCCCACTCTAAGGTCCTAAAGACACATGCAATTTAAAAAAAAAAACTGAATTTTCTTTCTTTCTTTCTTTCTTTCTTTCTTTCTTTCTTTCTTTCTTTCTTTCTTTCTTTCTTTCTTTCTTTCTTTTTTACCAGGCTGTGTAAGTCCAGGTTGTCCACTCATTTTTCAATTTGGTTTGGTTTACCAAATATTTTGGTGACGAAGCAGAAGTATTAATTTTTATTTTAGATTTCATAATTTAACCCAGACTTACATACTCCTTTGTCAACAAAAATAAAAGTCAAGTAGTTTTCTGAACTCTTTCCAGACACAACAAGGTGTTTACTTCTCCTTTGTTTTGTGCTAGATTTTATTTTTTTATCTTTTATTCTTTATGATTTGTATAAGTTCATGGGATCATTCTAATTCATTTTATATACACAGAGACATACATAGCTGCACGTGAGGGTGTTAATATCTGTGATCCAATATTGAAAGAGGATGGAAGGGGAAGAGGAATAAAAAGAATGAAGGTGTGACAGGTGCATGCACCTACTGTCTAAAGCAGAAATAAACATTATGTACTGAAACAGGTATTCACATACTTTCAAAAAAGAAATATGAGAAATCCAAAATATATGAACAGAAAATTAAAGAAAGACAATAGGAAGAATGAAAATGGAAGTTTTTCAAAACAGAATGGGTTCATGAGACAGGGTTTAGGAGGTTAAAAATAATTAAGATGCACTATTTTCATGTAAAAAATAACAACAGGCAATATTATCATTATTCAATGAGGATATGTACTAAAAAATAACTAATAATAAGAATTAAAGCTACAATCGAATCCAATCCTAGGACATAATCCACATGCACCTACAAATATTGTGTCTTCTTTTAATATCATCTGAGGATTCCACTCAAATCTGTAAAGATGAGTCATCTTATGGTGAGGTTAATTATTTTACTAATTTTTCCTAGGTGATCTTCATCATGGCATTGGTATATTACGCCACCCCACTGTGATTTTGTTTGATTGTCTTTACAACACTTTCTGTCTCACTTAAAATCTGTTAATGTTAAATTCCCATATTTTGGGCTTGGAAATGTAGAATCTAATTCATTTCATTAGCATAGGAGAGATGAAATGGTCTAGGGGACAATTTGGAGACACAGTGGACCAAATTCATATTAATGGGAATAAAAATAAGAATATAGAATATACTCGCACTATGGCCAAGAATGAACATTCCTCAGATGACATGAAATGAAGAGTGTCTCCATTAAAGAGCTACCACCACCTACTGAACTCCTTAATTCTGAGGAATTTTAAACACAGTGAATTTCCTCTGTAGCACGGAATGAAGCACACTTTCTCAAAAAGACTTTGAGGAAATTATCATACAAAATGTTTAGTTCTTTCTAAGGTTCCAACTGGCTGTAACTATTATGTAAAGGAGTGGGCATGAGTTCCAGTTGATCTTTTTATTTTAATTTCGCACAGATGCCTATGCTAAGGGTCAACTTAAACAACTGAGTACTTCTGGGGCCCTCCTTATCTGCAAGTAATCCTAAATTGAGGGGGTCATATGGCACCCTAGTCAGGATCTGTCCTCAACATCAAGGAGATAGGTCCAGTGAAACTTTCCTAACCTCCTTCCTTGGCTGGCAACTTTATTCATCAGTCTTTTGCAGAACCAGAAGCCTGGGATACAGTGTAAGAGAAACATGGATGATTTTTATGTTTTCTTAATGATTTTGTTTCAGTTGGATGGGTGTATACTTGTCCAGGATCTTGTGTTTGACTATAAAAGAATTGCCAAGTGTATACCCAATAGCAATGAGCAGCTACGTTTACTGAAGATCAAGGGAAGTTGTGTTCAGAGCAGTTCTGTGCCACCATTAGATAAGGGACTGAGTGAAAAAGGGTTGACAGGATAGCTCTGTGAACAGGTCCTCACAGAAAAAAAAGTAGCAACAACAAGAACAATGAAAAAGGTGCGTAAATGAGAATTCCTGAATTTAAAGGCAGATATGTCTCCTTAGGGGACTCCCACTGAATCTCTATGTGTGATAGACAGGAATGGTTGACAGGGTGCTGAGTCATCTTATGGACTTTCAATATGTATGGCTGAGTTCACCGTAATATTAATTATATTTATGACATGTAGTGCACACTTAGATACTTATAAAGAGTTTAGTGTAAGGTAAAGATAACCAGAAATTTGGTCTAGGAGATTCTACATGCATGTGCTCTCACCTAGACCATGGGTGATCTCCTAACATTTATTATTTTATTCTATACTTCACTTAGGACAGGGTAAACAGGAATAAGCACGGTTTCTGTTCAGAATTAGATGGAGACAAGGGAGTAATACACTCAGCTGCACTGACTTTATGCTAAATTCACATTGACATCAATATTTGATATCATATATAACATACATAATAATGTTTTGTGTGCAAATATCCATTATATCTGCCAACAAAGTGCTGTTTGTGTCTGTGATCAGTGGAAAGTAGAATCCAGAATAATCATAGGATCAGGGCAGAGGATGAATGCATCCTTCTGCTCCATGTTCTGCCACCCTGAAGCCCCTTCTCCCTGTCTGTGTTCCAGCCCCATCATTCACCTCACATCCAGGCTCCTGCAGCTGATTCTTCAGGACTGAGGTGAGCTCTGCTCCCTCTTTCTGTGACTTCCCCTCACTGAGACCAGACATGCTGCCTGGGAGCTTGCTTAACTATCATTTGTCAGAGACCTGAGAAGGCCATTTGACTTCCTGAGATAAAAATCCGACTCTAGGTCCTGCAGACACTGGACATAAAGATGTGTATTATGTATTTATGTCAAAGAGATATTTCCAATTCCTGAAGAGCAGAAGGAGCCCATGTGTCATCCCAAGATGTCCCTGTGAAGGCACAGTGGGATCCTTGCACTTATAGTTTCAGCTTCTCTAATTGTTCTCTGGATGTCATTCCTAAGCTCAAAATGCTTCTCTTATGATGGGTACCCTTCTTTGAATAACTGTACATTACAAACTCCATGAACATGATAATAATGTCTTCAAAATTCAAACTTTATACCAACTTTTCATTCATACTATGACCACATTCTTTTTATTGGTTGGATATAGGCTGGCCTTTAACTCAGTACATAGCCAGGCTTGGTACAAACGCACAGTGACCCTCCTGCTTCCAATTCCTGAGTACCTGGTTTACAGGAGTGTGACACCCTGCATCAGTCAAATCCTTCTCTGTTGTTCTTTTGTGGTTTAAGCAAGAAAGTCTCACTCCATTTATACTAGGCTGGAACTAGTTATTTTCTTTTTCAGTCCTACATTTCCTGCCAATATGCACATATGCTAATGTCATTATTCTACATCCCAACTCTTCTCTTTTTAATCATCTTTAGAATGTGGTTTCCAGGCTGGGGGGATAGCTCAGCAGGCTAATCTGCTGCCTGGCAAGCACAAAGGCTTGAGATTGATCCCCCTGTCCCACATGACATTCTCTCCTCGGTTGCCTGGCATGCTATGCCAGCCACTAAAACCAGGTGTGGTGGGGCACACTTGTAATACCAGCACTGGAGAGCCTAAGACAGGAGGATCACTATGAGTTCATGTGTGCAGCAAGACCCTGTACCAAAAAGTAAGTAAAAAAAAAGGCATGTATATTAAAAACAAATAAAAAAGTACACAAAGAATGTGACTTCCAGATCCTTGTGTCATTTCTATGCTTTTATTTCTCAATTTGTATTCAGATTGCAACACGATGAGAGTTAATGAAAGAATTAAAGAACATTTTTTTCTTAGTATAGAAATTCGAGATACATGTAATCAATTCTTTGCCAACAACACTGAAATTATTTATCACATGTAACAGTTTTGAAGCTAGACATTTACTCAAGATTTATACAACTTATGAACTGAAGAAAAATGGTCAGACCTCATCCTATTTAAGGAAATCTTCATGAGTGTCTAAGATGGTTATTTCCAGAAAGGTTCAAGGAACAGTCCCAAAATCATGGCCATATCCACTTCTGCGCACAACAGGATAACAATGGATGTTGAGGTCTTTGACCATGTAGCCAGGACCACATAGGGTGTTTGCTATGTTATGATGGGAAATCTGTATGGGTTGTTCTTGGAAGTGACTCAGAATCAAGCAGCTTCCCCTCTTGTTGAACAGAGTGAGGAAGAGAAGGAAGGTCTCTACCCTGCACAGGTAGTTCTCTGACTGTGGCTGTGAAAGTAGATGCAATGTCCATCCCCTGTCATGGCTGGGACTCTGGGGCTTGTTCATCTGCACAGATACTCTGTGGGCAGGGTGGGGCTCTTTCTGGCATTAGCATA